CTGAGAACCAAGTCAAACAGTGTGAACATGTTCTGGTACAACGAGAACCTTTTTTTCTCTTCCTGAAACATCATGTGCTATTATGTACCAAAGCCTTATAAACACACGGGTACACAATGTCCAGGTGGTTTCCATTATTCGGGAGACCAAATATGGCCAAAGTGACTTTAAACCACTGGAGTTTGACTATCAGCCAAGCCATAATTCTATGTGCTTCTTATCCTAACAGGTATTTGAACCAGACCTTACAAAATGATGTATCAACAGCAGAGCATTCTCTGAACAGGGAGAGATTTACTGTTTTGAAACAAGCCTTGAAGGTAGTTGGCTTCAGTACCTTGGTGAGTCATATCATAAATATTTCACTGAGAAACTAACCTTCTACTAATTTATCAAAGTTATTCATTTGAAACTTTTACCCAGTCCCTATTGTATTCTGGATGTGGTTGCAAACACACATGATTCAGCAGAGAATAAGCCCCAATCTCTGCCCCCAACAGTTTACATTCAAGTGGAGTAGACAGACAGAAACAAACAATATGCTCAGTGTCATATGTACGATGAAGACAAAGAGAAAGTGGCAAGGGGAGGGCTGCTGTTTTCAAGAGGGTGGTCAAGGAGACCTTTTAACCAGGTGAGCCAAACAGCAAAGAACTTTATAACGACCAACTCAAGAGAAAACTGCTTACTGCTAAGAACCACTTTGAAAAGTTATCTAGTCACTCTATTAAACTTGTTCTTTTTATTCTTAAAGAATTATCAAATACTTGCAAGCATTCTGAAGCTGAAAAATCCAATTTAAGATGTTTGAACCACTGCCGTGCAGCGGAGCTTTCTGTGATCTCAGAAGCGTGCCAGGTCTGCACGGGGCAATATGGTGCATGTGGTAAATGGCTACTGGACACTTGCAATGTGGCTAATGAGACTGAGGAAATGGATTTTTAATTTTTCTTTGTTTTAATTAATTTAAATTGAAAAAGTCTTGTGTGGTTAGTGGTTACTGAATTGCGTAGCACAGGTCTAATTGAATAAGAGATATGAAATGATCTAAGCCTGTTCT